GGCCAGTGGCATGAATAATTAGGTCAGGGATACTGACCTAACCCAAGGGGATTACATTCCCATCTTGGAAATGTAAACTAAAGGGTAAGAAGACAGTGCCAGTTGGCGGTTGGTACTAAGAGGAGTGTGTACAATGTGGTGTGACAGTCACAACGCTAAGGAGCAAAGGAAGCTGAGGGAAAGTTAGAGAAACAAAGAAGAATCAGGCCCAATTGGGGCGTGCTTTCCTGATATTATTTACTGATATCCAAGATCCAGTCCTCAAGAGTCTAGATTCCCATAAGAAATATGTATTCTGAAAACACAGTTCCCACACTTAGCACTCCTCCCTAGACACACACACACACACACACACACACACACACACACACACAAGCTTCTATTAACTACTTTTAAAAACAAGTCTCTTGCCTCCTTGGGTACAGGGGAGAGGTATCCTTTAGCAAGCATTTGCCACATGGTGCTCTTTTCCTGTTTCCCAAAACCCACTGAGAGATCAAAATTATGACTTGGATTCTCCATCTTTGTTTTCCTGGTACATAGTGTAGTTCCCAGCATACATTTGCATTCAACCCGTTATTAAAAATAATAATAATTAATGAGGGCAAAAATTAAATGGAGTTTTCTCCTTGCTTATAATTATAAAAGCATTCCCATCTACAAAAAAAAAACCAAAATGGAGGGAAAAGGGGGAAATTATAGAGTTTTATTTGATTCTCAATAAACTGACAATACAGGAGCCCCTTGGAAAAGCATTTTGGCTCTTGCAAAAGATAGAGTCTATGACTTGTCAGGATTGAAATGCTTTAGCTGTATTCTGAAGGAACACTTGTATGTCAAACTCGCGGCCCAAGGGCCACATGCAGCCCACAACAAATATTTTTGCGGATCAGGCAATATAACGGTATGTAAGAAATGTTTTAATAAAAATTCTGTAACTTAATTTTACAATATCCTGTTATACATAATTATTAATAACAAACTACAAGGTTCGCTAACAAATGATTACTATAACCGTGTTGCATTCATTTCCTTTACGCGCCTTACGCGCAGGCGCACCATGTCTCTCCCCTAATACTAGCAGCGAATATCTTAGCAGCTAATTGCCACGTCACTAGCACTTTGTATTCAGCATGTCTCTATCGAAATAAACCGACATTTCTATGAAATTGAAGCTTTTGTTTGTTTTGCGGCCCACATACACTTACACCTTGTTTATCTGGCCACTGTTAGCCTTCGAGTTTGACATGCTTGCTGCACGCTCTATGTGCCTAGCAGGTGGGTTATTTGTAGATCATCTCAATGAACTTTATATGCAACTTATGAAAATCACAATTAAAGCATAGGAAGTGCTGATAAAAAAAAAACACAGTAACATTCTTTTGGCTTCAAGGAAAAGTCTTGATATCTAGTCATTAACTGGGCAATCTGCCCTCAGACTTCCTTCTGCTTTAATATGCTAAAGAGAAACATGTCTTCTGTGAACAATGCTTTTCTTAAATCCCTTATGCTTTGCTGCTCTACTGTGAAGTCCTAATTCCTCTGAATCTAAACATCATTAACTCTCAAAAACTATTAGCTATCTGGAGTCAAATGAATGAAAAGGGGAAAAAACAGAGTAGTTTAATTTCAAGCCAATGAAAGGGTCTTTATGTGTTTTATTTTTTGTTGAGTTGTTAAGGCTGTTTTAATTGGGTTTCTTACTCGCTTGTTTGGCTATCTGTAGAACAAACAGGGGTTAACAATATTTAAAGTAAAATCAATTTCATTTTTCAATCAGATTGTATTAATCTGTCTTTATTACTTATATTTATTAATGAGTTTTCTGTAACTTTAAGTATCTTGTTTTTATAACAGACTTGTTTTTGTTTTAAAGGTGTGGAGGGGTGGAGTTTACTGACATTTTCTTGTTTGCATTCTTTCTTGTTTTATTTTTCAATTTGAGGAGCTGAAGGTAATATGGTATCTTTTATTTCAATTTCACTTTTAATACCTGTCCAAATACCCTAGCTCTATGTGCTATTGTTACCATCATAACTAGCTAGTTTATTAATATTAATAGAAAAAAATAAAAGGGAAGGCCAGACATTATAAGCATGAAGCTGCAACTTTATACTCCAGTATAAAGAAACCACCAGTACATTTCCCACAGATACTGGGAAAGGGATCAAGCAAAGGGGTAAATGGGCGCATATACAGTAAAGTTGGGGTGCCATAGGGAAGACACTTGCCTGTCAGTCTAGCTTGTGGAACCATGGATTGCCTAGAGGGGTGGAGCCACTGCAAGGACGTGAAATCCTGAAGGATTCATTTGTTAAGCATCTAATTAAATTTCTCCCCCAAAAAGAAAATTTCTCTGTCTTGTGCCTCTTGTTTCTCTTGCATTGCTCCTGCTTCCTTGCACTTGGCTTCTTCAGTGGCCTGCGATAGCCTGCATGTGGCCCTAGAAGCCACATGGCCATGACACCACACTCAATGGACTGGAGCTTGGAGCACAAGCTAAGCTAGTCAGATGCTGGACTAGACTGTGTTTTAATGTGGAGTGAAGACCCTGGGCAGTGGCTTCAATCCTAGCTCTGCTGAAGATGAAATGGGGCTCTTTCCATGGTGAGATGGAGGGAGAGGGGACCTTGGAATGGAGCCCCCTTAATTTCATATCAATAAAGCTTTTCATGATACCTATCCTCCCTTGGGGCCCAGAAATTCTTGTTCCCATGACACCCCAAGATGCTTACTTCCAGCAGCAACAGGTGGGGACAACAGGAGGGCACCCCATAGATAACAGGATCTTCTGTATTAGGAAAGATTATGGCCCTGAAACATTTGCTTGTTCTTCCTTGTTCTTTCTATGGAGCACTCAGAGATGACCTTCAGTTGCCCTGTGTCTCACTGATAAAATTAGTTTTGCAGAAAAGCAACTTCCCAAAAGTATTGTCTCATCATAACAGATTAACACAATTCTGTTGGCTCCTTTTAAATCACATTTACCACAGTATCCATTTATGAGATCACATGAGGGCTGCCTTGGACCATCCTTTCCATTTCTATCCAAAACAGAATATAATGTTTCTATTTTTAAACTGATATAAAAACATAATTCATAACCCATTACTACACTGCAACCTCCCACATACTGGCAAAAAGCAAAATCTCATAATATAGAAAAACCTCATTAAGCTTTAAAAGTTAGGGAATGTTTAAATTCAGCCAACTCTTTACAAAAAGTTCTATGGGGAAAACTATTGTAAATGACTAATATTCTAAATTTTTTCATAAGACATAATCCCCAGTAGGTAGGGGTGTGTGGGGGGTGTATGTGTGTGCACACACACACGTGCATGTGTGTTTGTATTTATGTTCACTGCTGATTTAAATATTCATATCATCTACTCAAAAATTAAACTTCATTTCTGGATTTCTATTTCATTAGTATTAGAAATTGTGAGAATGCATCTGCATTGGAGTAAATTAATTAATTTTATATTATTTTATAGTATAAATCAGAAGTCAAAATCATGGTGAAAACTTTCTGGGAGGAATATAACACCCAATTTCTGCAAAACAAAAAGCAAAAATGAAAAAAAAAGTTCGTAAAGAATGCTTATTGTGCATTTTCCTTGAATTTTTAGAACACAGAGTCAATTTTACAGGCTTCTGTGGAAGTTCATGTTCTCACCCACCACTGCCCCTTCCCCAATCATCACCACCAAGGAAGAAATGCTAATCTGAATAGAAAGATTCTCCGACATCAGCTGACTGACGTGACTGAGAGTGGACAGTCACTGTGAGTGCCATGTCTCCCATATACTTACTCTTCCTATGTGGCTGCAGTAATTGAGGAGTTAGGTTTAACTCTTCCAGGTCTGTTAAATCTCAAATGGATTCATGATGCATCCCCCTTATTCCCTGAACTGAAATAAAGTATTCCAACTTTTTTTTTTATCAGAGAATTATCTAATGGGGTTTAGAAGCTCCACTGTTATAGTAATATTTCATGTTCCTGTGCCAATATTTCTTGTATGTATATCCCCTTATAGTAATTAGGAGAGGTGACTGTGTTTTGGGACAAGACTTGATATTTATGGTTCAACAAGCCAAATGATTCCTAGTCTTTTTCATGTTGTGGAACATAAAGAAAATTATAAGTATTTATAATACTTAATAGGTTTATAATTGTGAGTAAGCAAAACAGAGTTTATTTTGTGTTATTATTTGTTAATTATCATTTTCCATATGAACAACTTTAAACAATTTTTGCCCACCATATATTTATATAGTAGTATATTATATTCCCTAGGGGAATTTAGAGGGAAAATAGTGCCTGTATGGAATTTAATGAGAAAAAAGAAAAGTTACATTGCCTTAATATATATATATAAAGATAAAATAAAATACACAGTATTAGGAAAAAGTAGTATTGGATTTTGTGCAAATATCATGTAACATTCACCATGGAGCTTCATGGGCTGTATGGCTCCCATTCTACTTCTCAGCTGCAGAGACAACGTTATAAACAAAGGAATTTCCCACGCTTTCATAAGAAAATTAGCTTCTGCCTGTAGCCATCGCTTTTCTATCCCCTTTCATGCTTTCAAATGTCTATACACAATTCCTAACCAAGATGTTTTCATCCTAATCTCAAAATTTTGGTAGTTTCTATTGATGAGAATGTGTTTTTCAAAAATGATTGGGTGTGTTAAAACTTGTATTTTACAACCACTCAAATTCTGTAAGAGTTGAAATTCTCACTCAAAGTAATTTTAAATTTCCTGTGTTCCGCAAAGACAGTTCAAAATTTAAGGTCAACATTGTGAGATAATAATGAGGCTCTAATGTAGAATAAGCATGCATTGTTAAACAGCTGGCTTGGATACAACTCAGAGCAAATATCAGCCACAGATATATGAAAAGCCACCTGTAAGCCTGCCTGGGGCTGCGCTTCCAGGAGCCGCTGCCCAGCCACCCCCAGCCCTCTGCCCACCGCCCACCGCGGGCCGCACCTTGGGCTGGGATCTGAGCTCCTTGGGCACCTGGACCACGAACTCCTCTGGCAGCTCCACGGGGCCCTGGTCCGCGATGAGCTGTGGCGCGCTCTGCAGTTGGCGGCTGGAGGAGATGTCTGGGTGGGAGAGCGCCTCCTGGGTTGCGCTCAGCATGTCGCAGTGGAGCAGCGAGGGCTGGATGTCTCTCAATGTGCTTGCCACCTGCGGGCACCATCAGACTCCACTCAGCTCAGGGCCGCCTCAGAGGAGCCTGCTACAGGCTATTCCCAAGGCTGCTGTCAGCTGCAGGCCATTAGGCCCCACACACCAGCCACCCCAGGCCCCATTAAGACAACCCTGACCTGGGGAGATCCTATCTCCTAGGCTCTAGTGTGATGATGACTCTATAGTGCTGTCCAAATTAAACACTACCTTAAGTCAGCCAAACACCTCACCCTAATCCCTAATGAGGATTAGAAAATTAGACATAATTATTGAAAACTGAGAAAGCTACTTGAAAAATGTAAATACTGTCTATATTTTTATAGATTCACAGCATTCTGATGCCAATTATGGGTAGTAATATCTATTAAGTGTAAAAAAAAAACTGGTTACTGAACTAAATATTTTCACACAAAAAGCTTCTTAAGGTAACGAATGAAAAAAGTTTCAGAGGTGGTTTTTTATTAGTTTAGTTTTGTTTATTGTATTGTTATACTTACATGGATTGTTTTATATTTATTTATTTTTCAGGTCATTAAACATTTTTTTGAAAGATACTGTATTAAGATCCGTGATGGATATTAAGGTGAAAAGGATATACACACATTTTTGCCATTTACATACACAGTGATTTTACTGACAAATGTACATATTACATCAATGAGTAAATATGAAAGACCAAGACAATAATGAAAAAAATAAAATTTCACACATATGATTTTTTTAATAATTCACAAAACAGTCATACATCATATGCTATGAAAAAGAGATATTTAAGTACAGGATTTTTTTCTGGTGAATTGGCACATAAAATATACATTTCTCTAAACTAATTGCAACTAGTGTAATAAATAGGCATTATAATAAAAATGTCCCTGCCAAAATAAGAAAAAGGCTTTACAAGAATAAAGATTTTGCTTTACACAAGTATTTTTAACATACTGGAGTATGCAAATTTAAAACACGTGAATAATGCTACATGACTATCATTCAATAGTCAGGATAGAAACTAAGAAATTCAATAATGCAAGAGAATTTTATAATCTTTCTAACACTGGAAGTTTATACAGTGAGGCTGTAATTTATTGATATATAAAATATTTGAAATTTAAGAATGAAAACACATTTTCTTTCAAATCACAAGAAATATTACAACCCTATTGAAAACAACAACAAAAAATAATATAAAGAAATCTGTCAAACCATCCATTGATAATGAAAAAGTTTAGATTACAACTAAGAAAACAACATGTTTACTTAAGCTCATTACAATGTATGAGTAACAGGCAAAAGATAGTGTAAATGCTATTTTGATCGTTTGTGTGAATGAAAAAAGTGTCAAAGAAGGAAAGAAATTTAAGGCCAAAAAAAGTTGTGAAAGTCAAAATATCTAAGTAAGTGCCTCCTTTAAAGTTTAAATCCAGTGATGTCTCTTTTAACTTATGAAATATCCCTCTCCTTGTTGCCTGAAATGACAATGTGAGCAATTTTTAATTATTTTTTACACAGATATATATAGGCATGCTTTCCCTAACATCTTTATAACTACTCTATGGAAGAAATTTAGCAAAAGATTATAATGCTGTATTAGCCTATAAGCTTCAGATATAAAAACGTTTAAAGATTTCACCCACAGCCAAGTTAACAAATAAGGACATGTGGAGTGAGGAAGTATTGTGCTCCATTCATTCATTCAACAAATATTTACAGAGTTCCCATGATGTGCCAGCTCCTTTTCTGGGTACTGGAGATTTTGGTAAACAAAACAGACCACATATCTACTTTAATGAATCATCCATTCTTTTGAGAGAGATTATACAAATGGATAGATAATTTTTAAAGGGGACATCTGTAACACGTTCAACAATAAAGATACATTCTAAAAAATAATTTTTAAAAATACCATATAGGAGATGAGAAATTTACAGAAAGTTTAAATAGGGTAACATGTAAGGGTGTAAGGGGGAGAGATCAACCAAAGGACTTGTGTGCATGCATATAAGCCTAACCAATGGACCCAGACACCAGCGGGGTGAGGGCATGAGTGTGGGGGGGGGGTGCGAGGGCAATGGGGCCATAAGGGCACATATATGATGCCTTAATCAATAAAGAAAATAAATATAGGTAGATAGATAGATAGATAAATAAATAGATAAATAGTTTTTAAAAAAGCTACTCTGTTTATGTTTTTATGGAAGATTTGTCTATGGGAGTAAAATTTAAACTGAGATCTCAAGTTGCTAGTCATAAGAAGCAGGAGTAAAGAGCACTCCTGGCTGCTGCAAAGCCCTCAGGCTGGAGCCACCTTGATGAGTTCAAGAAATAGCACAACACAAATATCGCATGACCTCACTTATATGTGGAATCTAATAAACACAATGAAATTGACCAACAAAATAAGACCAGAATCATGAAGTCATGGAACAGACTGGAGTTGGGAGTTCAAGAAGAGACAAACCAAAGAACTTATATACTTATATGCATAGCTCATGGGCATGAGCAATAGGGTAGTGAAGACCTGGTAGAGTGGGAAGGGGCTGGAAGAGAGGGTAAAATGGGGTAAAATGGGATATATCTGTAATAACTATCAATAATTATATATATAAAAGAAATAGCACAATGGCCAATGAAGCTGTTATGTGTAGTAGACTGGGAGAAGAATGGTAAGATGAGATCGGAGAGGTTAGCAATAAGTAGATCATGAATTTTGTAAAAGAGGGCAAATAGTTTAGTTTTGGGGCAATCAAGCATCTGTTTGGGAAGGAAGAATAAGGTACAATAGTGGGGCGGAGGGATGGGAATAGTGATCTCTACGGAATTATAGATCAATTATTTCGAGAAACGTTAATTTCTAGAGTCCGCATAGAATAACAATTGATTAAAAATGCATGTAGAGTAGAATTACCTGAAAAAAATAACAGTATCTGTATTTAATAAAAGAATCTTAACTTAAACAAGAAATAAGAACATGCTCAAACTAGAACAAGAAAGCAAGGCCTACAGACTTAGAAACAGTAGATATGGATCAAAGAATAAAATTATTTTATGGTGCCGAAACCAGTTTGGCTCAGTGGATAGAGCATAGGCCTGTGGACTGAAAGGTCCCAGGTTCGATTCCGGTCAAGGGCATGTACCTGGGTTGCGGGCACATCCCCAGTGGGAGGTGTGCAGGAGGCAGCTGATCGATGCTTCTCTCTCATCGATGTTTCTAACTCTCTATCTCTCTCCCTTCCTCTCTGTAAAAAATCAATAAAATATATTAAAAAAATTATTTTATGGAGTAAGTTTGAGGAATACAAAATACCAGGAAGTGAAGTAGAATTTGACTCCTGTGTTAAAGGAAATTAGACTCTGATGTGTTCTATGAAGCTGGAATATATGGTGTCTATACACTTCTTTAAATTCAACATCTCTATGAAAGGAATCCAGAGTACCTGTCAGTGAGAGCAACAATGGAGGGTTGTTACACTGTCCATATGGAAAAGAGCTATTAGAACAGGCCAAAATCTTAACATTTGACATAAAAAATTATTGTATCTGTTAAACTTACAGTACTGTATAATTTTGGGGAAAATATTTGAGTTATAAATATAAATGTAATTTTTCTTCCTTAAGCTATTATAAAAATATGTCTTCAAGATAAACACAATTTTGAGACTGGTATTCCATTAGGACCATGGAATCTTAAGTCTGGAAGGAATCATTCAACTAACATGCTACATAGTAATCCTCAGATCATCCCTGCTAAAAATCTCTGAAATTTCACACGAAAAGTCCATGATCACTCTCTGTTCTTGAAACACCCAATTTCATTTGAAGCAGCAAGTTCCTCATGTCAAGAAAAGTGATATCAACCCCCTGGCATTCTCTACTCACTTATCTAAATGCTACACAAATGGGCTATGCAAAACAGATCAAGCTACTCCTAGAAGGCACTTGTCTTCAGATATTTGAAGCTAGCCTTTACATCATAAATGTCCCATTTTTTATCTAGATGCATAAGGGAAAAGGTTTCTTTAAGTTAAAAAATACCTCAGAATGTTATAGCATTAACTATAATTTCAAGGCATCCTCCCCCTTATACTACTCTTCTATCTCCATTTGAGACCACAATCTCAAACTCCATCATGTGTAAGTCTAAGGTGTCTCAAGTATTTGCTGCTGGGATAGGAAATACTAATAAGGCCAACACATCTTGTTCTTTCTAATCTTTTCCAAAGAGAGAAAAACTTCATTCTTATCTCCTTTAAAAACTGTAACACTAACAACAAATTTCCTGAAAAATAATTAAATTGATCCCATTTACATGAAATGGGAATAAATTAAAGAAGGATCAAGATGCCTACTCTGAAAATTACAAGACACTGATAAGAGAAATCGAGGAAGATACAAGTACATTGTGTTCACAGATTGGAAGATTTTATATTGTTAAAATTTCAATACAACCAAGAGCTATCTATAGATTCAGTGCAAAAGATTCCAATGGTGTTTTTATAGAAATAGAAAAAAATACTCCTAAAATTTTATTATTCATTGAATAACTAAAGAAATACTGAGAAAGAACAAAGCAGGAAGAGTCACACTTCCTGAGTTCAGCTATACAATAAAGCTATAGTATGGTTTTGGCAAAAAAAAAAAATCCTGACAAATATAGCAATGAAACAGAATCAAGAGCCAGGAATATATGACTAATATTTGACAAGGAGCCAAGAATACTAAATGGAGAAAAGATGGTCTCTTTCATAAATCGTGCTGTGATAATTGGATATTCATATCTAAAAGAATGAAACTTAACACCAATCACAAAAATTAATTCAAAATACATTAAAGACTTAAATGTAAGACGTGAATCCATGAAACTCCTAGAACAAAACATGGGAATAAAGCTCTTTGACATGTGTTTTTGTAATACTTTTTTGGTTATGAGATCTAAAGTGTGAGCTACAAAATCAACAATAAACACGTGGAACTACGTAAAACCAAAAAGCTTCTGCACAGCA